CAGTTTCACACCCAGTAAGTACCAACCAGATTTGCGTATTTCCTTAATGTGTAAATAGTTTATTATTCGCATTGCTCAATTATAAATTTAAACTATATTTTCAGAAATTACGAAAGAATTTTAGATAATCTTAAAAAACAAAAAAATTGAAACATTTTATAACAAACTGCTGAATATTTCTTGTACTTCTGCTGAAAATTTTCTTGAACGTTATCCAAAGTTATAATAATTTTGCACGTAAGATGCTTTGTTCGAACAAAATACTTTTAGGAGATTCAGGTTTTATTTTATAGGTCACTATTCCGAAGTTTTTATTTTTATAGAATTTTCAGCAGAAGAAAGAAAGTGATGGATTTCATAACTTATATCCTCTTGACATTTAATTATTTAGATCATTATCGATTTATTTATTTAATTGTTTAGGCACTTATCCGATGACTCCAAACATTCCTGGTATGCCAACCATTATGGCGTTACCACCGAACGTTACCAATTCTTATGAAGTTTCAATCGCACCGCCTGGATCAATTAATGCCCCAGGACAACAGAGAGAGCAAAATCCTGTCCATGGTACGACCACAATCAATGTCCCAGTATTGCAGAGAGAGCAGAATCCTATTCCTAGTGCAAACATGACTGCTGGATTTAATATGCCTCAGTCTCACGTTGTAACGACACCCATCTCACTGCCAGGAATGCCACCTATCACAGTCACCGCCTCTCTTCAAGACACTTCTTTCTATCCATCTATTCTTCAACAGCAAAATCAATTGCCACCTGGCATCAACACTACCACCGTCGCTCCGACGTTGCCGACGTCCACGCAGTAAGGAATTCACGTTTTTAGAAATTAAATAAATAGAAGAGTATATAATTTTCACTTTAATAAAGTATACTTTTAAGCGTGCCGGTTAAGTAAAATTAAATCTTTTGTCCATTCTAAACTGTTGGGACAGAGAGAATGAGCCAGTAAGACTAAGGATGATATTCGTAATTGTTCCTTGGTAAAAATTTCTTATATACTTATATACGTGTATATATACATATTTAAATGTATATGTACATGTATATAAATGGTTCACCAAAGAAAGATTATAAATGCCTTCCTAAGCCTTATTTCTTTTAATAAATATCGAGATTGTGATGCGCATAATAAATTTTTTAATGTGTATTGATATGTATTAAAGAGAATAATAATGTAATGTAATATTGTACATAAATAAATAATCGCAAGAACCTAATTATATTATATTGTAACATTAAAAAATGGTCATACTTATTAATTTTTTTTCCGTATATTACCTATAAATTTTAATTACATATAATTAACAACTAGTACATATGTTGATCAGTGACAATATACATACTTTTGTATCTAAAGCATCTCGTTTTAACTGAGGCTTTAAAGATTGCAAAATTGTGAGTTTGATCGCCAAGTTGAGAAAAGATTTCAATCCACGCAAAAGCAGTGTTTATTACATGTTATCCCCAATTAACATTATAACAAGTACTAAGGTATAGATAGGCAGTAACAACACTCGAAGTTCAAACAACGATCTCAGCGTTGTCGAAAGACAAGATTCTTCATCGTGCGTTCTCATGTGTTGAGACTTTTTAAATGATAATCTCTGTATCACCCAGCTCTTCGTCAGTTGGCAATATTATCTTGGACGGATCAATCACGTTGCGATCGATGAGAGGAAGTCCGTGTTCCTCTCTGTAACGAAGCTGCAGGTACGCCTCTCGCTGTGCCCAGTCCTTGTGCCTGACATCAGGTAGATAGGCCATGACGGTGATCCCAAGCACCAGAACTATGGATACGGTGATGAACATGGTCTGGTGCAGGGCATGACGATCCTCCACTTCGTCGTCCTGGCTGAAGCCGTAACTTATCCACTTTCTCTTGACAGGCTTCGCCTCCTCCTTGGCGCTGTCGTAATAGCTCGGTGTCGTTGCTATCCTGCGACATATCGTCGTCTCCTTGGGCGACATCAGAGCTAACCCCCGGCGTAGACTCTGCACGCAATTCATGCGGAATAACGCTGCCATCGTCAGTAAAGTACGCTCGTGTTCTCCGGCTGTGCGACAGCTGTCACGAATTTAATACGTGCGAGTCCCAATGCCGGTGACGTTATGTGAACTGCGAGTGTGCTGAGTTTTCAGAGAGAGATCAGAGAAATTAGATAATATTTCTTCAAATATATCCGTACTCTCTGTATATGTAAGTCTACATATGTGTATGTACACGTTTAGCTGTATATTGAAAAAGTTGGGCTAGGTTCCCACTAGCCAATGGGCGCGTTCAGCAGACCAAGCCGCTCAGTAGCAGTCGAATGTGATTGGCTCTTACTTTTAGAACCTACTAATCAACGCAGAGTGTTAATAAGACGAACTCAACAGTTACGCAACAGTTGTGTTTGCTGAACGCGCCCAATTACAGTATACACGATGGATTATTTAATTGGCTGATGGCAGGCGCCTCGTGCGTGCCGATTGGCTATCGAATAGATATATTTCATGGAATTTAAGAACGCGCGTAAAAACACGATTGGATAATTTTCATAATTTTGTTTTACAATCTTTTTATAAAAACTCATATTCATCGTATTTATTATAATTTATTATGCGCGCAATTCTGTCGATCACAATTAAGTTTTTCCATAGAAGAATCTGTACTTTATTAGCGAGTTCGATTAAACTCCAATTAATTTAATCAGTGATTAATTAATTGCCCGTAATTTTTTATTTTGTTAACGCATTGATAAAATTGTTAGTTTTTTGTTGTTTATTATATATAGAAAAAAAGGATTAGATGAGGTGCAATTATATTATAATAAGTAAAAAATTATAATACAAATATATTATTTGATAAATTAACTGATTAAGTTAATTATTTGGAATTTTCGTCGAAATCATTCTTCGAAATATAAATTATTATCGTCGCGCATCGAATGCAATCCGCTGAGAAAATTGTTCGTCGAGTCCGGCCATCTAATACGACGCGGCGTATTCATGGCCGATCGAGCGATTGTATGTACGGTGGCTCCCACATCAACGAACGAGGGGAATTGAGGGGATTTGTTGAGCAGCGTCGTCGGGGCCGCTGTTTTTCGTCGAGAGTGCGTCATTTATGTGTTACCGAGACGGTCGGCGGAAACGAGGAGTTTAATTGGACCCAAGGACGCAGCGCAGCGCAGCGCAGTCGAGTGAGTAGCCTCCGACTCCGACATCGTCGTCGCTGCCCGCAGGTCGCCCTCGCCGTCGCCGCCGCCGCCGCCGTCGAGATTGGCCCGCGCGCGAATTTGCGCTGATAACCACAAACCGGAGCGTGTTAAATCGATCGGCAAATTCGTGGGGGACCTCGGGGTCGGCGGTGATCGGCCGCGAATACCGCGAGTGAGCACCGATTTGCGGGGAGTCGACGGGACGACGGTCCGCGATCCGCGGATCCGACGACCCGATCGTATTTCTCCGCCAATCGGCGTTAGATCGCGTCGCGCGGAATTAATATGGAGGCAATGTGTGTAGGTGCGTGTGTGGAAGTTGCGTATGTGTGCGTATGCGTACATGTGTGTGTATGTTTGACGCTTTGACTGATGAGAAAACGCAAAACGTTCGACCTAGTGTGTACTATGACGTTCTATATTTAGCCTGTAATAAGAAATAATGAGATCTATATTGAAGAATCACATATATCATATATACATATATGTATATCTATATAGATATGTATATATACGTATATGCGAATAGATATTCTATAATTTAGTAATAACGAAAGCTATATATTGAGATGGAGATGTGAGAAGACATTGATATAATTTGTGAACGTATAGCTTGTATGTGGTGCAATCTAATAGATAACTGCGTAAATTAAATATGCACTATTAGTTCTCTTAACCCTTGGTTTAGTTGTATCATTTATATTAAATTAGTTACATTATATATGACAGGTATGAGACGCAAGAGTGAAAGGAACAAAGCGAAGGGATCTCCAGAGAAGAAAGTTGAGAAACCGACGAGGAAGTCGACACGCAGGCGTGGCAGGAGATCGCCTTCCACTTCGTCCGAGCAAGAGACTTTTGTCGTCGAGGATGTGACCAAAAGTGCCGTTCAGCTCAAGGAGATCGAGAAGGAAACAAGCGTGCAGACACGTCTGCAGAGCAAGGAAGTAGAGCAAACGCCACAGGGGCGTGAGGAGAAGGTCTCCTCTAGCGAGATAGACATAAAGGTGGACTCACCCGAAGACGAAGAGGACAACGGCGGCTCGGTATGGAAAGTAGCGAGAGCGGATGCGTCGCCCGGCGAGATACAGAAGTTAAAACTATGTAGGCAGCGCAACACGTCAGAACCATCATCAGACACACCACCGTCGAGTAGGAAAGGTGTCAAGTCAAGTAGCAAGTGGCAAGGAAGTGGTGAGGGCGTTGCAGAGGAGGCTGACTCGGCGGATGAGCAACTGGTTTCTTGTACAAGAACGCTCAGTAATGCTGAACAGCCGAACGATCCCTCCTCTTCATACCCAGGTCAGGACTCCAACGAAGAGGTAAGTGATAGCAAGGAGATCCTGCCTGAAACCACTTCAGCCAACTTGTTGTCTGACGATAAACCAAACATAGATCAGCATGGTGAATCAAATGAGGCAAATTGCGCTGCCCAAATCGTTGATATCGAACCTGGCAAGCCGGGTAGCACGACACCCGTGCCGACTCCTAGCGCGAACGATGAGGAAACCACCGTCGCTGTCATCGTTAAGGAAGATAAACCTGTGGAAGCCGAAGCTGTGGAAGCCGAACCTGTGGAAGCCGAACCTGTGGAAGCCGAACCTGTGGCAGCCGAACCTGTGGAAGCCGAACCCGTGGAAGCCGAACCTGTGGAAGACAAACCCATGGAAGACAAACCCGTGGAAGACAAACCCATGGAAGACAAACCCGTGGAAGACAAACCCATGGAAGACAAACCCGTGAAAGACAAACCTGTGGAAGACATAAGTGAAAAGTCAACAGAGATCTCTGTTAAAGAGACTAACGTGGAAAATGTTTGTAGAGATACAAGTAGCGAAGATGAGGAGGAGGAGGAGGAGGAGGATAAAGCGAAAACGCATCGTCCGGTGGACTCGTCATCTGATTCAAACGACGAATCGCGCACTAAAAGAAGCAGAACAAGTAGTGACCGAACGTCACCACGTACGATTCGCAGAAAACATAGAAATAAATACAGAGATTCGTCGAATTCAGAGACACCTGATTCCGAAGATGAACCTAAGAGAAAGATCTCTGAAACTTATGTGGAGGAGGAAGAGGAGGAGGAGGAAAAACCGAGTATAGAATACTCGCAAGAGAATGATAAAGAACAATCGGTGTCGCCGGAAAGAACAAACTCTCATTCAAATAACGTAGAAAAGATAGAGATCGAGCCTAGTGAAACTGTTGAAGATAAATCGGAAGAAAATATAATAACTGAAAAATTGGAACAGTCTACACCGGCTAGCACTCAGGTGGTCGCTCATAAACCCGTTAAAGTCAACTTGAAGAGATCATTGTAAGCATAAATATTCTTGTATAATGAGTATCCTTTTTTTGACAGGGGAATTTTATTTGTAAAAGTTGTATAATAGATATTATTGAAGGTTTTTAATGTATCATTATATTTGTGGAATAATTCAGTTACTTTAGATTTTATAGTGTAAATGAATCAAAATATCAGTATTTTATCAAATTGAGTTATAATTTAATTACGCTAATTTCTATCTATTTTCAGCTCAACAAGAATATTATCTGAAAAGAACGAGGTGAAAAGAAACGATGCTGATGCAAGCCTCGACAATGAATCCAATAGTCAAAATAAGGTATAATAATTTATAGTATTCTGCTAGAGTTATAAGGATATTTATATTCTTCCATTTAGCACTATATTCTCGAATATATAATGTGCATTTCAGGAAAATGGCAATGAACAAGAGCCAAAATGTGTGCCGAGGAAACGTCGATGGGGGACTGCGCTTTCCACGGATACCGCGCCCTCGTTTTCTATCTCGACTGATTCGCTCAAGGTTTTATTTCAATTATACATATATTACTTTCGATTCTTTAACATAAAAATTCACTAACAATAATGTCATAGGCGTTGGTGCCAGGTGCGAAGCCATTATCCATCAATGAAGTTCGTCTTTCTAAGGACGATGACGAGGACAGAGATCGACATAGAAGTAACGATAAACGGCACAATTCGAGCGACATTACAAATGATAAGGCAACGGATGAAAACTTGAAAAATGGCGCTACCAAAAAGGGCAATGGAAAAATAGATAATCACATTGGTAGGTGTATTTACAATTAGTTAAATAAAATCCGTAAATTTTTCTATAATTGTTAACTGTAACATTATAATTCCTATTTAATATTTATACAATGTTTCTGTTATTTTTAGCGGCGAGGCGAAAGATATCGATCGTGAAGGAGATACCACATATAAAATCACCAAGCCCACCAGCGTCTAAACCTACCAATATTCTTTTGATCAAGAATCTAGTTCGCCCTTTCACACTAAATCAGATCAAGGAACTTCTTTCGCGTACTGGCACCATCGTGGAGAACGGTTTCTGGATGGATCGAATTAAATCTAAATGCATTGTCGAAGTACGAATTATAAATGTAGAGAGAATATTATACGGTGGATCTTAAGCTAAACTTCTCACGATTATATTAATATTGCAGTATTCCAATGAGGATCAGGCCTTTGAGACAAGGCAGGCGCTTCACGGGATCTCTTGGCCTATGTCCAATCCAAAGAAGCTTCATGTGGAATATGCTACAAAGGAGGATATGGAGACCGCTCGGGAATCGTCCAAGGAACAACCGGTTGCTCGTAAAACCGAGCCGCTCTCGTCGGATTCGTGGCAGCAGGATTGGAGTCGCGACGAGAAGACTAATATGACTAAGGTAAGGATGCAGTTTTGACTAGATCATTGGAGTGTTTTCGGCAACAATTTAATGGAACACATCTACGTATTAGGTGACCGTGGTGAGAGAGTGGGATTTAGGCAAGGAGGACGGCCAGCAACACATCAGGGAGAAGGAACGTGAGAAGAAGGACCATGATAAGAAGCGGCGAGTGAGGAGTCGCAGCCCAACATTGGACGCCCATCTATCGGCACCGGCCCGCAAATTCAAGAAGAAGGAGGACGATCCACCTCCAGCTAAGCTTCTGGACGATCTCTTTAGAAAAACGAAGGCGACACCCTGCATATACTGGTTGCCGCTTACAAATGAACAGGTAGGTGAATTCAGTGAGCTATAAGTATATGCTAGTATTTCATCGTTTTGAAATATTTAGAAGAATATTTATATAGAAAGAGATTTTGTCAAAAATACACTAGGATAAAGAGATTTTGTTTACAACTTTATCTATCTTTTCATTTTGTTGATTTATCATATATATACGTATATATATATATATATGACTGCTAAACAATTAAATAGTAATAGACAATAAAAGTTTCATATGGAAACATTGTAGATAGTCGTGAAGGAGGAGATGCGACGGCAACATATGGCGGAACATGCGCGCAGATTAGAAGAGATGAGACGTGCTGACAGAAACAGGGACGGCCGACGTCGACGTAGTCCGAGAAAATAGAGATCAGCGTATATCAGCAACATTAAATGTACCTCTCCTTCCCTATCCTGATTTATCCTAAATTTAATTTTGCTTACCTCCAATCAATTTTTTAATTCGGAATTTTAATTCTCGTTGTTGTATGTTTATCAGAGATCCATCTTTCTTCTTTTTTTGAACTCGTTCAAGAACATATTAATATTTGAAAATTAATAGATCTAATATTTGTTGATATTCTGATCTGTTTTTTTTTTCCGCATTTTCTTTAGTATTATCTCTTTAATCTCTGTATCTCTACTTCCTGTCAGTTTAATTTCGGATACCATTCAATGCATGATTATCAGATATCCTTCCGATTCCTTCTTTCCTTCCCTCGTGTATCAGAATTAAACCGTACTTCTTACAGGTCAACATTTATCTATCCCACAGAGAGCCAATAACTGTAGATCAGACGCAGTATAGTGGTACTGTGTATTTGCGTCGACTGTTCATGGCAAATAATACCAATTCACTCTCTGTCATGTTCGAAACCACACGTGAGAGACTCGCACGCTCGCAGCATCTATACGGAATGATTTTACAACGTGGGAATCTCTATGAAGAAAATAGACGAGACGCGCATCATTGAATGTGGAATAGACTTGGCATTCATGAGAACAACGTTCGTTCCTTCGCTCTTTTCTTGTTTTATTTTTTTTTTTTACGAATCGAACTCTGATAAGTACATTCGAATGGAGAAATGAAGTTATACGAGTTATATGCAGTCTGGATGGAAAACACTGTCGCCCGAAACGCAGAAGAGCATTGTTGAAGACATTATTGATGGATGAAAGATGAACTTTGTCTGCGGTAAATCTTCTTCGTGGTCTGCTTTGGTTGCCTCGTGCTCAACAATTGCCAACCATTTGACTTTTTGACGGCGGCTACATCTTGCAAGCGTCACGTCAGTGTTTAACCGTAATATAGACTAGCGCAGGACGAAGACATGTCTGTAAATATAACCGATATTTCGTGGTGTGACATGTAAAATTATTAATAAATCCTAAAAATGATGAAAACACGCTTTCTGTTAGCGTATACAGAGGTACATTTACCGCTTACTTTTTTTTTACAATATACCTATTAGAGAATTTGTTATTCACTTACGACGAAAAATTGAGATAAGTGGATAAGTAAATACATTTATGCTTAAAATAAACAATCGCCTATGTTATTGTCGTTATCTAATTTGCTGTACAATCGTAGAACTGTGTTTTAATAAATTAGCAACAAAATATCGAAAAGCGCGAAACAGAACACGATCGTTAAAATTTATTGCAAATATGCATATAAACTTATTTGATAATTTTATTCGTATCAATAACATTATCAACGCTAACTTTATAGGTACTTTAGCTTACAAAATCCGAGTACAGAATGTGTGCACATTGACTGTTAGACATATTACGATTATGCTGTTATTTATTTGGTAGTGAAAAAGAAGAGACGTAAAATTTAATAGTCAATTTAGTTTTCAATTTGTACATTTTTTATTACTTACATATTTAATTTATAATTTGAAACACGACACGTGCGTTTTCTCAATCAGAATCGAATTGTACTTCTATGTCGTTATACACGCGCACGCACGTTTAATACTTCTTGTTTTATTAAAAATTTCTCGCAATAAAAACGAATGAGTAAACAATGAATTTGACCAGAATCGATTTCATGTGACACATTGAAGATTTAATCTGAAACACTAAATCTGAGACGTATCATGGCTGCACACCGCATAAGGTTTTTGCGACGTAAGTCAAGCATTTGAGAGCAAAAGAAAAATAAAACAAGATGCTTATACAGATTTTTGCAGACATCTAAAACATACATTATTAATATGTATGATTATGATGTATGTTAGACGCTTATTCGAGAAAATACTTAAAGAATGTCAGACAGTCGATAACGATATCGACATTCGCTTTCCAAAAATTGTAAACCTTACGCGTTAATAAAATAAACTATTATTTATGACGATACTTGTAACGATGTATTTCAACAATAATGACGCGAAGAAGTGCGCTATTATTTGCGTATTGTTATCGTTACGGACTTCTCTTCCTTTTTTTTTGTTAACGCGGGTTTACATAATATCGACTATCGCTCATTCTCGTTGCGACCAATTTCACTCATCATACCACATTCATTTATCATACAAGCATTGTTCTCATCATCAGTTTTATTTAATCAACCTTCACAACACTATAAATCTTGCGCACGAACCAAAAACAGGCAAAGAAACCAATGGAACCTGAAAGAAAATGATAGTTTTATTTTTTTAAACATCAATGGTAGCAGTATTTTAAATACATTTCGAGCGAAACATATAACATATACTCACCTGTCAGAAGGAAGAATAAGTAAACCATAATAAATGTATATCCGAAGTACAGGAACGTAGAGGTGGCACCTTCAATGTCTAACTTAGTCACGAAGAAATGTACACAATAAATTAACAAGTAGACAGCAGTAAAGCCGGATGTAAGAAAGCTGCGCCACCACCAGTGATAATCCTGTAAAGAAATTAATTAATATCACAATGTTTCACGAAATAGATATACAAGTATGATTTCCTACAAAGCATGTATTTACCTCAGCGCAAAGATGGAAATAACAGAGTAGAATTGTCGTTTCAGAACACGTGATGACAAGTATAAGAAAGACCAAGAAGAGAAATCCGAACATGTAGTACACTTGGCTTGACCTGGTAAAAATGACTCGTAAGAACATTTATTGATAAAAATATTAATATGCAACACTTACCAAAGGGAATTAAGTATGAAGAATAATTGTATAAATATGCATCCGAATGGCAGGACACCACCCATGATGACCCCAGGTATTGGTTGCGTGTAGAAATTCTGCTCTGGTATTTGTCGAGGAATCTGATTCGTTCGTACTGGATGCTCCAAAGCCTGTGGCATTATTTACCAATTATTTACAGACATATTATAATAAACTAGTATTAATTTACAATTACCCTTTTCTTGAAGCCAAAGTAAGCGCCGATAAATGTTAACGGTACGGACACTCCGAACCACAGTGCTAGAAGTGCGATTAGAGTGCTGAAAGGGACTGCGGCCGAGCTTCCATTCGCCCAAAATATTAGGTTCATTATGAAGAATAAACTAAATACGATTCTGTAAAGTAATATACAATTTATATAATAAATTTATATCAAATACAAATGGCATTCGTCAAAATTAATTTACTTTCAATGCAGCAGAATCGATAGACTAGATCTCAGGAAATAACACAAGTCTTACCCGGGGCTAAGCATAGATGTGAGTAACACGTTGGATTTCCATTTTTCTCCACCGAAACTCTTATATATTCGAGCAGCGGCGAATCCCGCAGTAGTTCCGAGACAAACGTACAGTACCATTGCACAAGTCATTAATGCGCCTCTATTTGCAGGCGAAAGGAAACCCAGACAAGCGAACGCTGTAGCATTGATTACAATATTTATAATTTACCGTTTGAAATAAAAGGAAAAACAATTAATAAATTTATTAACGTTTAAGTTCACAATTAATCTTGAATAAATTAGTCTTATATTTAATCTAATAAATCTGATGAGTGCAGTTTACCTAGTGTAACTAACGTCATGAAGAATACTTGAACACCGGATCCTAGTAGAACCGAAAGCAACATTCCTTTACGCGGAGGGCGAAACACGTCGCCGTGTACCAATTTCCATCCAAACTCCTCTTGTGCGTCTTCTCCTGATTCTATCTGGAAGTAGGCCTGCGTTATCGCAACACAGACAAACGGATATCACAATCTTGTAAAAGTGAAGAAAACATTTGGTTACCTTCACCTTTTCATGATATATGTTATTTTGTAAAAGCTTGATTTTTCAAAGCATTTTTAAAAATACAGGGTTAGTACTCCAGTTAGTTTTTTATAAAATTTCCAAGATACACATTAATTAATGGCAATATATTCATCAATATATCTCTTCTTAGAACTTTATTAAATTTTATCTAAAAGTTTTCAATAAAAATAAAGAACTTCTTGACTTCGCCGTAGCCGGATAAAAAAGACATAAACAGCAATTTTTAGAGTAACTTTTAATATTGCATTCAGTTGCTAAATATCGCGAAATTATCACGCGATGTTTTCAAGAGTCTGTTCAATTATTTATTTGCTTGTAAGAAAATAGATATAGAAAGATGTGCATACTACAAAAAAAAATTACGTGCAGTTGTTAAATTATATAACACGACTGAGTATATAAGTACCTGGTTATATCGCGCGATGTCTTTGTGCAGAGTGCGAAGCATTATCATAGCTACCATGCCAGAGAGGAACAAAACTATTATCAGCGAATTAAGAATACTGAACCACTGAATATTCGAATGTGGCATCGATTCCAAGATGTAATCCCATCTCGACGACCATTTAATCGTGTTATTTATCTGGAATAATAAGTAAAATAATAAATTTTAACACAATAACAAACGATAAACGATTAAATTTTATCAACTAAAATATCCTTGTGTTATTGTGTATATTTGCGAAGACTTACCACATATTTAATAGAATACGTATATGTCACTTGGAACGTCTGATCTCTTGGGACCTCACCGGATGGTATCTCTAATGGTATTTGACTTTCACAATCAACTGCACTAGTATGCTTAATACTGTGAGGCACTACTTTCACAGCTATTAAAAATACAATTTTTACAATTAATGCAATTTATTTATGAAATAATAATTTAATGTTAATTATGATTTATTTGTAAATTTAAACACAAAGGCCAATTTTGATCCACAAATACTCACATATGATACGACCACCGTTATCCTTAAAGGACGATCCCCATTCCTCCGAAGCACCACTGTGATAAGTTATAGTAAGATTCACGTGATTAAACAGATAGTAAGTTTTCGGTTTGTTGTACGGACCCTATCAGCAAACATAAAGAAATATCCATCAGATAAATTAAATTGTATAATTTTACAATTTTAAAATATAATTCGATAATTCATTCTCACATGTATAGTACAAGTATCTTGCTGAGATCTGGATTCTTTTGAGTAACAACCCATAGGGAAGCCAGTGCTACAATATTGTCGCTCATCCTCTAGCTGATAACACCACGTTACCGGCATATTATCTGATAAAAGCAGAATATATTAACAGAATCATTAGCAAGTCAATACAAAATTATTTGAAGAATGATGACATGTCGTATAGTTGCAAAACTTTAACTTTTAAAATCATGAATTTTTAAACTTTTAAAATAATAAAATAAAATAATGAATTCGTATAATTTTCTTCATAAATCAGTTGATAAGCTTTAATCAGTTCACCAATTATAATAGAAACAACAAAATAAATACGAACTAACTGCTATTGTTAAAACACAAATATATTTTTGCACTTTAAAACATAAAAGCTTGATATAACTTCAGAATTTATTTCTAAATTATATTAAACTCTTGTGTATAATTTACAACTCTTATAAACTCTTTAACGTATCAAAATATATTTGCACTGACAGTGCATTTGTCTTATATTTGCTTATCACAAATTGTTATTTATTCAAATCTTTAAATTACTGAGTCATTCATCTCTTTCTTCAATTTTTAAATATAAAATTGTATAAATTGGAGTTACAGTATCCTATTGAGATATACTAATAAAATAATATATCAGACAATTATTGTAACAGAAAATATTTAACAAGAAATTACAATACAATCACTAATATTTTCAATCAATTGGTTGATGCATTTGATACTCTACCAACTATCCAATGATGTTGATAATTGACTGCTATTCCTTTTCTCAATAACTGTAACTTCTTCTCCGAATTTTCGTCACCTCCCGTGTACACTTTTCTGCAAACGGTGGCACACTTGACATCTTTCAAGAATTCCAACTAAAAATGAAATAAAATGTATTTTAACTTTTTTTTTTAATTTAGGATTCAAGTTTAAGATTCTCTTATAAAAGAATGTTAGTCTTAGGTCTTTGCCTCTATACCTTGTACGGAGACGGTCGTATGCGTTCCCCAAATACGACCTGTCCCAAGTTTTCAACTGGGGACTGTCCATCCTCTGCCGTGCAGAAGTCGAAACTAGATTGTAAAAATAGAATATTAAAAAATTATGACAAAAGTTATACATATAAGTGTTGTATATTACTTTAATGTAATATACAATACACTAATAAATGTAATAGAGAAATTTAACACATAATAATATTACTTACTGACTATATTCGTAAGGTATGACATATTTCTCTGTGTTTAAACGATTCACGTACAGTTTAATTTCAGACTAAAACAGAATCACACACACAGTTTTATTATCGATACAACCAACACTGCAATACTAAGAATTCAAACGTTATCATATCAAGCTATGTAATCTTGCTTGATAATACACATTGCAGTGTATATACATAATAGTTACTACACACTTATATATAATTATTAGCAAAATTTATATAAAAATAACATTGTACAGTGCATGTATCAAGAAAGGTCCATACAGCTGAAGAGAAACGACAAACTTGCCAAGTGATATTTGTGTCACATGTACATATACATACATATATATGTATATATGTAGTGGCAAATTTGTACACGGAGTCAACCGGATAAGGTACTATCCGAGATAAGACAGAGATTATGTACTACAATTTAATTCGCAAGAAAGATACAAAGGACGTGGGACGTACAAGCGAGTACAACAATTTACGACGTATATGTATAATCGACACGTCCCGTCGTTCATAACCAACCGATCGACCGCGATCCCTAGCGCTATTGTACCTTGCAGGTTGGCGTGGTCTCGCCGGCTTTGCAATAATTCACGGGTGCCAGGCCGGGCAGGTAGAAGGCCACGACGCCGTGGAACGCGCACAGCGTGTAGAATATCGCCGTCGTCGTTCTCATCGCCGTCGCCGTCGCAGTCAACCGGGGGAGTCGTCCTAGAAGCGTCTGTCTCTGTCGTACCGCTCGGGTCTCCCGTCTCCTGTCTCCTCCGTGATACGTACTCTCGTACACTCTACATGAAAGCGCTCGATCGCATCATACGCCGCGCACGCCTCCGCGGAGTGGCACGGCCGGGGTCTCTCTCGCTCTCTCGCTGCGTGGGATTGCGCGAAACGTCGTCGTCGCGAGTCGCGAGCCAAAACGCGTATTATCACATCGACATCTCGAGCTCGAGCGCTGCCATGACACGTCATGAAGTGCGCGACGACCACGAGTCTCCGGGGGTGACTAATAATCGCCCATCTCGCTCGTCCCGCCCCGCGTGCCACCCAGCCGAGCGAGGCCAAACAAACCGCTTTACTCCGTTTTTAAATTTCGCGCCCGATTCGCGAAAGGGACACGCGAAGACTTTTCAGATTTGGCGATCCGCATTTCTCTAGAAATCGGCTGGACAAAATACCGAACTCGCCAATCAGAGAGTATTTTGGTCAGCAGGAAGATGATCGCTTCTCCTCTTTCCTTCTCTCAACTGTGCAATATCGGACAAGGGAAGCATCCATTATACGTTCTCTCATGCTCTTATTACGTTATCATCCGCTCGCGAATGTAAACATTCAAAAGATAACATAAACGTGCCGATAACGTAAAAATAATAAAAAATAAATAAACTACCTATATATAGTTCCGTTAGGGATATGAGAAAAAATAACAATAAACAAATGCACCCTAGATGCACCCAAAAGGAATCGCAAATCACCAATCAGATGTTGACCATGCAACCATTACTACAGCTCATTGGTTCACGATTACGGTCTCCAAAGGGACAAACCAGTCACAATGGAATACCTTTGAATCCGACTAATCACATTCGATTGCTCGATGAGTGGCTGTAGCATTGGTGTACAGTAAAATGCATTCTCTCTCTCTTTTACCTTAGGTTCAATTCAAACCTCTGTCTTATCATGAGACTCGATAATACGTGAATTGAACGTGGACACTCAGCTGGAGCTGGGGGACGGC